TGACTTAAGTATATAGGCATACATTTAAATTTTGATAGTACTTAACTGAATTAATTTTTCCGGGTGTTTTATAAATAACCTAATAACCAGCTTTATATTGAAATTTAAAAATTAATTTTACGAACGTGTGACACTTTTGGTTCAGAGCACCCATACTAACTATTTGCTAATAATAAAACCTATATTTTTCATGCACTAAAGTACTACGTAAACCATACCTACGAATAATTCCCATAACTTGAATTTTTTATTTCCATAGGACTAATTGTTTTCTTAAGCTTACTCCCTATTGTCTTAGATTAAGTTTGCATTTGTAGAAAATAAATATAATTTTGAAATAAAATACACAGAAATTAATATTCCCCTGAAATTGACTCTGGCTAACATTTGGAACGGATGAGCATGTAAGCGCCATGATTGGCTGAAACTATTTTTTCCGTTTCCTCGCGGTAGGGGAAACTAATATGTTGGTAACGTAACCGGATATGGGGTTTTCAACAAATGGCAGCCAACGAAAACCATGGATGGGTGGGTAGTGAGCTAGCAGATCGACTTCATCTTTGATTTGCTACATATCCGGCAAAGTTGAGAGAGCCCACAATGAGAGTTCTGAAGAGTGTTTAATTAATTATAATACCGGTCCCTATGCGTTTTTACTATTTAATTCTTTTTGTTCACTTATTATTCTCTTTCTAACTTAAAGTTTTTTTTTGTTATAAATTCGGGACTCTATAATAAAATAGTGCCGCAGTGTAAAGAGCAAATAGGATAGCCAAGAACCTCCCCAGCCACTGAAGCTAGCCCAGATAAATGGGTCCCGATCGGCTATTCTAACAGCCCAAATTCTTGCCTTACAAGATACCACCCTGCAATGTTCAATGCGGTTACACATTGCAGCTGTGCTTAAGTTTTGCTTTTGCACTGGACAAATGCATCGAGGACAAATTATCCTTGCCAAGTTTAATTCACTATTTAACTTTTCGTGTATTTGCACTGCAACTACTTTGGCAATCTCTTCAGCAAAAAGGGAAAGATTTCCAGAAGCTATGAGCAAATATGTGTCGAGTAAAAGTAATAGTGTTTGTAATCATAGAAATGTGTTCGGGTGGTTGCGGTGTTGTAAGATATTTACACTTCATCTAAACATTTTTGGTCAGTAAATGATATATGCAAGTTGATGCCTGCATGGCAGGGCAATATGCTAGCAGGATATACATATGTACATATATACATAGGTACATAAAATTATTCACTGAGGATAAACATATGTTACACTGAGGAAGTGTTAGCTATTAAATTAAAATGCTTCCATTATTTCTTGCCTTTAAATACTTATATATGTACTTATATTATTTAAGATGCCAATCCTTTGTCACGCACACTTCTACACATATGTATGCATGATATATTATACATGACGATCGCCCTCACAATTTCTAACATTGCCATGCGAACAATTCATCATTCGTCCTCGGAGTGTAGTAATTTTAAATGAGTGTCAATATTTGCACACCAACCATCAACCATCGCTAACTACCTCCACCTCACTTCACCCTTGCTCATAACCAAAAGTAACCACATACATACATATAATCGCCAGCATGTCATGCGCATCTCACCTCACCTCACTTTGGGCCTAACACCTAAATACATTCATTCACTGGCTGTCTGCAGTACATCGAAGGGGCTACACAGCGCGCTCTTGGCCAACTGAGTTTCCGTCCTCGGCCTAACTGGCATTGCCATCCTTTTACACAAACATATTCGCATCCCTTCCTACACTTTTCACAGTTGACTTCCTTGGCAGTATGTCTCTGTGTGTGTGTGTTTGTGCCGCATTTTAATTCAATCATACTCGGTCAAAGGCTGTGGCATACCATTTGTTTTAACTGGCCCTTGGGACATTTTGTCTTCAATTCAACTTTGCTTTTTAGTTCTTTATTTGGTTTGGATTTAATTTTTTTTTGAAATTTTTTTTCATTTCATTCATGTCGAATTGGGAATAGTAAAACTGCCCAAAGAGCGTTAAAGTACAGCAGCCGAAATGAGATGACTGAATCAGCCAGCAGTGACAAGTGCGACTACATAAGTTCACATACATACAAAGGCGCCCGCCCACCACATTGGTCTATTCGTTGTTGAGCTAGATTTTGAACAAATCTAATGCATATATGTAGGTACATACTTAATTAAATTCAGGTAAGATTTTTGGTGGCAGCTCGCCTGCGGTGCGGTATTTTTGTTTAGAAATGAGAAATGCCCTTTCGTTTTCTTGTTGTTTTTTTTTTCTTTTCTTGTAATTTTAACAAATTTGGCATTGCCAGCTCGAATTCGACATGACCTGAATTGTATACCAATGACGCAAATTTGGCATGTCTTTCATTACCGATGCCACACAGTGTATTGAGCTGGACAAAAACAGTTAAAGTGAGAAATCTTTTATGTGGAAAAAATATGAATATCCTGAATGAATGTTGAAACTTTTAGATATGCTTTCACGGCAGCATTTAAAAATTGAGAAACTAATACTCGCAGTTCGATAAAATTGCTCGCTAATTTTTTACCCCTTTTTCCAGAATTTTGCGGATTTGGAGTTTTTTTTTGTTTTTTAAATAAACCCATTTTAAGATCTACATAGTTTGAAAAAAGTTTCAAAATGTTTTATTGCTTTTTCGACAATCTTTAAACTTTTTTACTAGTTTTTTTTATGAAAAAGTAGCAAATTTTTCTTATCTGCCAAACATTTTACTAAGACTTTTCAGTAGCTTTTCGTGAGAGTTTCGCAATCCTATATGAGTCTGAATATAGTTATATAGTTTTGGGCACCTTGTGAAATTGTATGAAATAAAAAAATTTGTGGTTTTCCGGAATTTCCCGATTTTCGGCATTCTTAGTTTAATATTCTGAGTGATTTCGTGACATTGACATGAATTTTTTCCGTCACCTTTTAAATTGCTTCAGCGAACATTTTTCAAATTTTTTTTTCAGGTTTATCGAAAAATTTCGGGATTTTTTTGAAAGTTCAAAGTTCGAAAATTTTTTGTTAACTAAAAAAATTGTAATTTCTCAGCTCATTATTTGTGCAACGGATTAACTATAATATATTTCGTGGTTATTCATTAGTATGTTCGAAAATTTACTTAATAATTTTTTGTAGTAGTTATTTATCGAATTTAATCATCTTCTAAATAACTTTTGATAACACTTCATGGTTATTTTTTCAATAGCTTGAAGTTAAAGTCGATTGCCGGAATTGCCCTGTTAATCGATTCACAGATCGAATCTAAAACAAAAAACCGACAAAAAATAGAATCAGAAGAGCTCGATATTCGATTTAATCGATTTTAAACGGCAACTCTAATCGGGATATACAGGTCAATTCCGGCTAAGAAAGTAAAAATTCTTTCGTAAGACCAATGAAAGACAGATGGCAAGATAGTTCGAAAAAGGAACTTCACTCGTGGTGAAAAGCTATTTTGAGAGAAAGCTTTTCTATATCATTTAGGTCCCGTCACTCCAACAGTAGCAAAGGTCGAGTGAACAAGCATAGGCGCGCCATTCGAGAGATCCGAGTTCAAATCCTCGTGCAGCGGATTTTTAAATATTTTTTTTGTATTTATTTGCTATTCTTAAATTTAATGTTCTTTTTATTTGTAGATTTTGTTGTGTTAAAAAAATACATATTTTTTATTTTTATTTAATTTTTAGAAACTTATTTTATGTATTTATTATTTTTTATTTTTTATTTAATTTTCTTTTAATTTTTAGATGTCATGTTTTAAAAAGAATACTTTTTTTCATTGCATTTGATTTTTAGGAACTTATTTTATCTCTTTTTTTCTATTTTAAATAATTTTTTTAAGTAAAATTTTCTTTTAATTTTTAGAGTTTTATGCTTAGGTACAGAAGAAAGTTTTGTTTTATTAAATTTGATTTTTAGAAACTTATTT